AGTGGGGGGGGGGGAGGGGTCAAGCTGGGCGGTGCGATCGACGCAAATCTCGAGTAAGACGTAGTAAACCCAGCACATTCACTCACTCAGAGTGATGGCAACAGCAACAGGAACAAACGCACACATCTATTTAAGACACACCTCTCGGTCCAGCAGGATGTTGGCCGGCTTGATGTCGCGGTGCAGCATGTTGAGCGAGTGCATGTAGCGGAGCCCCTGGGCCATGTCGAGCGCGATGCTGGCGATGGACGCCTCCTTCAGAGGACCCTCCCTGTTGATCAGGTCCTGTCGTGATACAAGTACGAGAACAAACAGGCCAGAAACACAACAAAGACGAGTGGAGATGACGACCTTGTCCCAAAGTCTGTCGAGGGAAACTCCTACCCGTTCACAGTGGGGTCGACCCACCACCACCACCACCACCAACAATAACAACTACAACCACAACACCACCACGGAGGCCATCCTAAGCCCCACCTGAAGCGACCCGCCGCTGCAGTACTCCATCACGATCGACACGTAGCCAGAGCGAGTCAGCGTGAAGGCATCGTAGAAGGCTACCAGAGAGGCCGGGTTGCCTGCCCAAGCGGTCAGCGGTAGGATAACGCAACAGGGTCAAACGAGGCGGAGTCAACCGGAGAGGACCGCACCGGGCAAGGGAAGAAAAATCAGACGGTGGTTGATTGACGTCAAATTATTGTGCCCATCTCGGCAAGGATCTTTGGAAAATAACGACGGACCCAACCAACCGTTGCCAGCTAACCATGTCCCATGATGTTCCACCAGCTGTCGGTTTGCTACGCAGAAAGCAGCTGGCGGTCGCGCTGAGATCACCCGCTGGGCGGCGCACGTGCTCGACACCTCGGGGGTGAACCTTGAAAATATAGTTAGGTCATACAGCTGGTACAAGAATTGATTTTATTGCACGACCCAGCCTCTGCGTTTCACACAGCAGTGGCACTACAAAGCATTCGTGTCGCAAAGGGCACATCACTAGCTCCGAACCCTGTACACCACACATAGCACCAAACATGACTACCGCCCCCCCCCCCCCCCACCTC